TATGATTTTGTTGGCAATATGTATGAAAATTACATATGATTTAAGTAATCTTTATACAAATTGCTCAAACAACCACAGGGATAAGTAAATCCTTTTCTGAAAACACAGTCTCGAAACTTCTTTGTACAAAAACATCAAATCTCTTGCATCCATCTATCTGAAATTTGGCAGGCAATGCTTACTCTGAAGTGGCAACTATGCCTGTAAATATAATCCAGCTCTGTTAAACAATAAACATAAAAGAAATCCCTCTTTTAATACATTTTAGAAGCCATTTCCATGAAGATAATTGAGAGCATGTTATATAATTTATATACTTTAGAAACATAGCGTGCTTTATACTAGCAACAATATCCCAGCAACAATAATATTTACATAATTATAATTTGCATTATAATTAAAAAAAAAACATATACTGAAATTGTTTGGAGCCATCCTAACAAGATTTTTGTGTTTGCATGATACTCTAAGACTGATCACATGACTCTAGGAATGACATTGCATTAAATAAGGGATAATGGTACACCAGACAATATGGTAAATCTGTTCTGCAGTATTCCAGGCACTTGTTAATAAATAGACAGCAAGATGCTCCAACTGACCCTAGGAGCACTGGTTGTGTTGGTATGGCAGGTGAAAACTGAGTCTCGTTTATGCCTCTCTTTCACCAATTATGTCCTCCCACAGGATGAAATTGAACTAAAAGCAGCAGAGATGCTGGAAGAGGTAGGGCTGTTTTACAGTTCATCTTTAAGTATATTATTTTCCCATTTTCCAAGTCATGACCAGATCGAGTTAAATAAACTAACCAAAATCAAGCCATGGTCATGGATTGTGGTTAAAATGGAACATCTTTATCAAAATATGACCAACAGTGTCAGTTTGGATAGTACGCCAAGTTAAATCAAGTATGACTTACCATATCATGTAATACAAACAGATCGATTTCTATCCTGGTCCTGCACTGGATAATTCATTGTGATAATAATTGGAGGACGTTCGGTTCTGCATTCTAAAGAAATTGAACTGGCTCTATTTTGTTTGTCTAATTCTTTTACATTTTTGTTCTGCACATTTTCTACTGAACTTAAAAGTCCTTATCCAAATGCCAAAAATATTATGAGGTTATTATTAAAAATTATAAATAGATAAGGTTTGTCTACACTCTTTCAAAAGTATTTAATCATTGATTTCTTGGCTACTGAATGTAGTTAGTATGACTTTTTCAATTTGCTGCACACAAAAATAAATGTTCCCAAGTATTCAAAGGAATTTGGTTGAAATGGTATCTGCTAGCCATTTTTCAGTACAAATCATGGACTGTAAAGATGAATCTGAAAATAAAGGTTCACAAAGTAATTTGCTTGATGTTAGGAACATGTCATCAGAATATAGTAGAAACTCTTGTTCATCGTTTTTTTCATGGACATCATATTGCTTTCAATACGTGATTCAGTTTCATCCTGAATAAGAAGCATCTAGCAGGTATCTTTTGTCTTACCCTGCTGTTTATACTATGAAAAAGAAGATTTAAAAAGCACTAGCTCCGCCTTACTTTATCTAGGATATTATATAGAGGATGTACAGAAACTGAAGAATGTAAAAAAAAAAATATCTTAGTAAAGGCCAGACCAAAAAGAAAAATATCATCTTATGTAGTGCTAATAATGACTTGGTGGGTGCTATAGTAGAAATAGTCCCATAGATGTTAAAAGGAAACCCTCTTCTGAAATCTTCACAATTGTAGACTTTAAGGAGAAAGGGTTCATTTAAAAATGGAGTTATAGAAAGGTCTCACTCAAAAAGAAGCAGCAGATTATTCATCCGGAAGGTTTACCAGGTTGTTATTAGGGGCTGATATTCTGCTGTTGATTATAGACTACTAGATAAAACACGAACTATACTGAGAAAATGTTATCTGGTGTTGCGCCATCAGATGGTGCAACTGCAGGGCAGGGCATCTACTACAGGAACTAAGGCTGCTGACCAATTGGATGATGAAATAATTCAGAGAGCTGATTTGTGTGAGGACAAGATTAGGCTCTACAATTCGGTGCTGCAGAAATTTATAAGGCTAATCTGACAAAACAAATTTGAAAAGAATAGGCTGAATCTCATTTATTTGCCAGAAGATCCTTGACCACAGCCATCTCCATAGACAAAACAATACATGGTGTCCTAGGCTAGGATAATAAAATAACTACAGAGTTGGAACTTCTTGTCCAACTCCCCACTCAAGCTGGACTGCCTATACCATTTCAAATAAATGGTTGTCCAGTCTCTTAAAAAAACTTCTAATTATGGAGCACCAATAACTCTTGAAGGCAAGCTATTGCTGTAACCATTAGGAATTTTCTCCTTGGTACTAGGTTGCTTCTCTCCTTGGTTAGTTTCCATCCATTGTTTCTTGTCTTGCCTTACTGGTGCTTTGGAAAATAATTTGATCCCTTCGTCTTTGTAGGAGTACAGTAAAGTGTGGACACATTACAGGAATGCTGAACTTTCATTAACAAAAATGAAATAGCAACAGGACATTTTAGCATGGGATGTCTGTAGCAGCTTTTTATTCAAAAGGGTAATGCTTAACATTTTAGACTTGGTGAAAGGGGCCTTGTAACACTGAGCACATGCTGATAAACAGAAACCTCAAGGTTGGGATTAATTTATGAATGCTATGGCGAGATGAATGTCCCAAAGCCATGCTGGGTACTACCTCTATTAAAGAACAACTAAGAAGCTAAAGAGTCTGTGGCTCTTAAGGATGTAAATGCTACTACCGGTAGTCCCTGTTATACCTATGCTTATTGGGACTCAGATCAAACTCAGACCCTTTACTGGCACCAAATTCATTCTGTTTACTGGATGCTAAATCCTAGAAGTAGGCTAAAGTTTGATGATCGGCTCAACTTGTAAAATGATTACAAACATTGTGAAACAAGCATACAATTCAAGATTTTCTCTTTATTTTATAGCAAGGCAGGCATGTTTACATACATTGATAATGGGTACATGCTCCAAGCCCCCCTTCCCAACTTTATACCTTTTACAAACATTTGATCCTACTTTCTACTTCTTATGAGTCTGTATAAAAATATATACTTATACTACTGAGAGATGTAATACTAAAAAAATCCTGCAAACTTTAAAACTTGTAAAACTCCCAAATTAATGCAAAATACATTTTATCACAACAGTTAAAAACAGAAGGTTTAGGGCCACAGAGTCATTCTTTCCCAAGTACTTTGCCTGGGAACCAGTTTGCTGTATCATTTTCCACCCGATATATTTAATTCTTAAGAGAGAAATAAGAAATACCCTTTTGTTCTATTCGACTAAGGAAGATGCACAACTTCTCAGGTCACAAATGGACAATGTCATCCCCCCCCCCCCTGGGACTTTTATGTCCCACATGGAATCCTAAGGACTTGTGCATTTAGCTCACTATGAAAGTTACAAACTGTAGAGAAGTATGAAGTTGATACATTTCAGTAGGGCCATAAACAACAGATCTAAAATAAGGAAACGTTCATTTTCTTATTTATAACACAATATAAGCCAGCTCACATGTAATCATTTTCAATTGGACCAAAGCTGAAATAAGCATTCTTGTTTAAATAGATTACGCAAATGCCAGTCTGGCTTTAGGCCATGTGTCTAGCCATTAAATCTATGGCCTAGTGTAGCCTACTTACAGGTTTTGACAGGAGTAGATTGACAGAACCTGGGCCCTCTTAAAGAATGTGTCTGCTTCTACGTCCTTTGGAAACAGAGAGTGGGTTACTGGATTGGTTCAGGGTACTAGGAAAATGCTTTTATTTGAAATATAGTGGTGTGGATTATTTTTGTTCCAAAACTGTCAATGCATAAATAACTCTGAAAATCAGTCATCAGACCCTCCTAGGTGGAGGGTCACAATATAGTGGACCAGTGAGCATATTTAGGGCTTTGAGAATGCCATCATACTGTGCCATTATGGACCCAGACAGTTGCATAGGAATATACTTGCACCCAAGACAAATGGATGAGATTGGTACCCACCATTCTCTGCAACTGAACTAATTTCTAATTTTTAGGAAGCAAACGAATTTAAAACAAAGGCCTGGGTTGTTTCTAACTCTCCCCTTGTTTAAAATATAGGATCTTTTGTATGTTCCCCTTCAGAAAAGTTTGCCTTATTTAAAAAAGAAATCACACACACACGCACAGAGCTGGCACTTTGCAGCATACCTGCTTCCTATGATTTTATTCCTAATTAGAAGAACCTAAAAATAAGTCAGATGCAGCAGAGGGCTTTGTGGCGCCAAGGGTGGTGTCTGTGGCATATTGCCTACCCCTACAGTGGCAAAGGTGCTTAAAATGCAAAGCATTTTTGTCAGTGAGCCCTGTGCCATATGTGCTGGGCTAGAGCCACCTTGGGCCTGCCAAGGGTTAGACAGGTGCAGGCTTTCCAGGAACAAAATGCAGCGATAGCCCCAATCACCATCTTCCTGTCTGGCAGCTTCCCAAGATTCAAAACTCCTGCCAGCAGAAAGGTGGCCATCACGACAGCCTTTTGTCCCTCAAGTTCCTCAACCCACGGCTAAATAACGTGGTTGGTGGATAGTTGAGCCCCGGCCCTACCGGTGACCCACTGAGGCTGTCGAGCCCGCTCGGGAAGCAGTCGGTCACCTTACTAGCCCGGCTAGCCCTGTGGATGATACCTAGTTTGGGTAACGAAACGTGTGTGCAAGAAGACACGCAAACTCAGAAAGCACCAAGGAGCCCTAACTTTCCGCCCCCTCGCCCCCCACCCCCGCCGCAGTCTCCTTAAACTGGGCTCCTCGGAAAGGGGTTTCCATGGGGGTTGTTGACTCTATCGAAAGGAACGGGATTCAGAAATAAAACTTCTAGCAAACGCGTGCGAGAAACCTAGCCTGCTTAAGACTGCCCCCCTTCCCTTGAAGAGGGAAGCAGTTCGTGGGCACCTTGGCTCCCCCCGCCCCGCCCCGGCTGCTCCTCCTTTCTAGGGGAGGTGACTTGTTGAATTTAAAACCTGAAGGGCGAACTTCACACCTGGCGCTCTTTCCCCAAGCAGGCGCGCCGGCACAGGCGGGGAGACCGCGGCATCTGGAGCCGCGCGGGTGTCCCACGCCGGGAAAGAGGCGGAGCGCCTCCTCGTTGGCTTCCGTTCCGCTCCTCCTCGCCTTGGATTTGCAGCGGGAGGCTCCCCTTCTCTCTCTCTCTCTCTCTCTTTCCCAGAGCGACAGCACCGACGAGGACGACGACGACGAGGAGGCGGCGGCTCCGGGGAGCGCCCGCCTCCTTCGCTGCCGAGCGCGGTGCACACGGGGCATGGAGCCTGCCTGAGCCAGTCCGCGGGGCAGCTGCTGCTGCAGCACAACATGGAGGCGGCAGCGCCGCCGCCGCCGCTGCTTTTGGTCCTGTTCCTGCTCGCCGCCTCGCTACTTCGGTGCAACTTGGGGTCTGTGGCGGGTACGTTTCTGGGGCCGCCTCTCTACCACCCCTCTCCCACCCCCTCGCCGGCTGTTCCGATCCCGCGCTTCGGGAAGAGGGACCCCTTTTGTTGTGGGGATGGAAAAGTTCTTTGCAACTCGGGAAAGGGAGCGGAGGAGGCGTGCGAGCGGGCGTGGGGGCGCCAGGGCGAGCCGAGTGGGCGGCGGGGAAGCGCTGTGCCTGGGAGGGAGGGAGCGTGCGTGGCGGCGGGAAGAGGGGCGCAAGGCTGCGGGTGGAATGGCTTTAGCCCTGGCGAGGAAAGCTTCGGCCGCCTCCTCTAAGGAGAGGCGGTGCAAGGGGAAGGACGGCCGTACTGCATGTCAGGCTAGGAGAAAGGGAGACCCGATCGGGCAGGGGGGTTAACAAAAAAAAACAGGCAGGAAGCGCCTTGGTTGCTGCTCCTCCAAAGCGCAAGTTCTGAACTAAAAGCGGAGGGCGTTTCCGTGCCTCGGTCAACGTAGCATTTCGGGGCTCCTGCCTCCCTCCCCCCGCCAAGGAAAAAAAAGCATTCCTTCGGCCTTTTTGCGTGACGGGGCTCTCGAGTTCAGCCTGTGCCTCGAGAGCGAGACAAAAGTTTTACTTTCTTAGCGCTTTGCGGCCCTGGGCCGCGGAGATTTCCCAGGCGCTCGGAGGCGCGGGTGTTGATCCCGGGCTGAATCAAAACTTTTTCGGCTTTGGCGGAGGGGTGTTGGGACAAGAGCAGATCTAATTTTCTTTTATTTTAATACTTGTAACCTAGGGGAGTTGGGGGGCGGGGAGAAGAAGCGGGAGGAAGGAAGAGAGACTTGCCTGACTTGTGAAACGTAACACTTTGGCAAAACAGACTTCTGGGAAGAGTTGGACTGTCTGGGGGTTTTACCCAGACAAAACTACAGGGAACATTTGTTCCCTTCCTTGACTAGAGGGAGTGATCAGACAATCACGTACATTTCCATATGCAGTCGTAGTCATTTTACTCGACTTTTGAAGGAGTTTCTGGCTTGATTTTGCTGAAATGTGCTCGGGTAGTATGTGGCCCGATCTGTTAGATCATTTAGTCTTGGATATAAATAAAGAGACCGTCTCCCTCTTTGTTAATACACTTACTCTGTGTGTGTTCTTATTATGAAGGCTTGCATTGATGCAAGAAGTACAGGAAGATTTGAGGATAAGGAATATCAATAGGGATATAGGGTAGTTTTCTTCTTCATTTTGTAGTTGGTATTTCACGTGCTGAGGAATCATACATTTTGTTTTGCATTCCATTTTGTCTATAAAGTCTCTTGTGTTCTTGCAGCAATCCCTAGCACTATCACAAAAGGATTGTTATAGTTTGTCACATAATCAGCCAGATGTTTAGACTGGATTTGGCATTTTTAATCCATCTTTCAAATTGTACCCAAGACCTGGAATAGGGAGATGTTGTTCCACTGTCTAAAAAGTTATTTGTTCACAAACAATTTGCTGCCAGTTCTTTATCTAATGTTAGCTTTTATAAGCATCAAATCCTTCTCAAGAACCTAGGGTGTTGTAACGTATCAACAAATCAAGCAGTGTGACCTTTTATAATTCATGGATGGAATTTTTTATAATGTGCAGATACTCTTTAAGTACTATCCAAGATTTTTTGGTATGGCAGCCTGTGTGCCAATAACCACTAGGGCCATCATAGCTACTTTGTGCCATAATTTTCCAATTTTGATTTTTTGATCTTGATGCTTTGTGATATTCTCCCTATTCTTTGTCTTCTATTCTGCTATCTCCTCTTATTATTGCCACATCAGTTGTCCACATTTTCTTTTCAACCACAGTTAAATCTGGTGTAGTTATAACTGAAGACTTTATCAGTTTGTATTCAGAAATCCCACAATATTTTAACATGTTCATTCTTGAGCACCAATGCTTTATTACTGGTACATTTTTTTTTTTACAGATGTTCTTCTAGTGAATAGCTAGGGTGACTGTGTTACATTGTTTATATTCAGTTTGTGCAATCTTCTTGCATGAGCTTGAGTATATGATCTACTATTCTTTGCATAACCTGCACTTTAAATAATTCGCTTCCCCCCTCCCAATTCTGGACTTGATTGCATCAGTTCAAATACCTTGCTCTCAAGCAACCAAAATCAACCCTTCAGTTTCTTTTTTTTTTAATGTTTCAGTTGTGAGCCATGGTTTTATCTTTATCCTCTTTCCCCTTGCTCTTTTGTAGAAATAGAATGTGTCTGTGTCTGTGTGTAAGTCAGCCAACTCCAGTAGATTCTGACAATTATACAGTAATTCAGAGGCTGCTACCAAAAAGGGAGTTAACTGTCTTTTTTGTTTCCCACTTGTACTGTTACTTGCAGGAAAAAAAATTTTTTTTAATACATAAGAACCTCTCAAATAGCCTAGTATTTGTCTTCAATTTAGCAGTCCTCAGCAAACTGAAGTTTTGACACACTAATGAATGTTTAATTGTTGTAATTTTTCAATTAGTTGGAGAAATATACTTGTGGCTAATAGTGCATTCTCTTAAAGTAGTTATTACTGGGATTCCCCCTTTTCTTGAAATCATCTTTACTTATTGCTATTTAAGAGGGGAACTCTAACCAGTTTTCCCAAAGGCCATTGTGTTTTGTTTGGAGATTTGGCTTGTTTTAGATATACAATAACATCTGTATGCAGCTTTAATTGTAAATAAAAGAAATCCTTCACACACCTGATAATTAGGGGAGGAAAAGGCTCAGTTTTCCAGTGCTGTTTTAAGTTAATTGATCCACCAGTTTTTTCTTAGTATTTTTAAAAAAGTGATTATTATGGTTTAAACCAGGGGTGTCCAACCTTGGCAACTTTAAGACTTGTGGACTTCAACTCCCAGAATTCCTCAGCCAGC